TTGCAAAGTATGCACTTTCGCAGGCTGTCGCACGTGTACGCAATTTCTGGGCTGTCAACTAGGTCATATCTGGTCTCTTGGTGTGAGAGTATGTATGAATGAGCATGCAAGAGAATGTACATGTGTGCGTTGTACTGAATAGGGTACATTTTTTGAATGAGTATAGTCAAATACACGGTTTAAAAAGAGTCCGCAGGATTGCCGGGCCGTGGCTTATAGGTTATAACCGTTAAACCGACCGTTAGCTTAGCAGTTAACCGTTAGGGGTAAAACCGTGACCGTTTGAGCCCTAGTTATTACTTCACCATAGACACAGGCAAAATCTGCCTTCTCACTGTGCGTATTGCCACAGTTCTCGCAAAATGATGAAGTATTTCCCCAGGCGACTACACTGACTACACACGTGTATCAGATAGAGTAAGCACTGTACCTTGCATGCCCACCACTGCAATGTTCAGCTGGCCAATGTCTCCCGTCCGCAGTCCGGCCAGGTGAAACCGCGCAGCTGTCGTCACCGAGGGGAAGTGGTAGTTGACGATCTCCTCCCGCCGCGCCGAGATAGCGTCCACAACATCTTGGCCTACATGTTTAGAACAGATACAGAGCACGGTGGGTTTTTTCGACATGGGCCAAAACCTTACAACAGTGATAAGTTCCAACAAGCACACACGGATATTGCAGGGGCAGGGGCATCTGAACCAGTGTAGGTGCGGCCAAAGCCACACCAATACTTTAGGCTTGTGATTTTTCAAGCATTACAAAATAGGCTATCAGGGCTCAATTTTTGCAAAATGTTCTCATGGTAACCCCCCTACCCCCTCCCCCCCCCCCCCCCCACTGGTCTCACCAATGTGGAATACTTTTCTTAATGTACAGAACCTGCAAATGGATACAGTAAAACTGTAGTGGTCGTCTGTCCCAGAAAACCACTACAGATAGGACCAAGGGACGTTGTTTCCAGTCTAAAGTCCTTGGATAAGAAGACCACCCATACATAGGGACCACACGTTGAAGATCCCTTTGAGCAGTCGGAAAAAGGGGAACGAAAACATGACCTTTCATAGGGTCAATATAAACAGAAGGTAATATTTTCCTTGGAGACAAGTAGCTATAATACTCAATAGTAATGTTAGCACAAACTTCAGGCTCTTCAACAACATGGTTTTCACAAGTATAAACAAAAAAACAAATAACCATATGAAAATCATGATGTTGAAGAGCCTGAAGTTTGTGCTGCTATTGGGTGCAGATTTTCATAGAAAGGAAAACTGACGATTCTGAGGCTTGCTAAAGTTAACGAAGCAGAGACAAATCTCCTCGCTCGCTACAGCAAAGAACGCACTAAACACGCAGCACCTCACCGGAAGTGTTCTTCTTGCCGAGCCTGGAGAAGACACGGCGCAGAGACTGGCCAATGGAGGATCGGCTTGCACCTGTGCATTCACATGGCATGTTGGAGAAGGGAAGGGCAACATACACACCATCAGTACAAATCCGAGTTGTTTTGAATGTGAAAGCAACCGTGACAAGGAAACGTGGTCGCCATGGTTGAGTGGTCGCCATTACAGGTTTTACTTGTTGCAAAAGAAGGAGGGCTCATGCAACATACTGTATAACATACCTCCAGGAAACGTGAACATTTCTACATGTATAGACGAGGTAGTGCACAATATCCAACATCAGATGACAGGACATTGACATTCAGGGTCCTCAAAAACTACTTTAGATCCACTGCAACTGGGAGAGCATTGTTACAACAGGGTATGCTATACCCAGGGTACTTCATACTGAAGTGACATTGCAGATGCTTCACACGCCACACACATGCACACACATGCACACACGCAAACATGCATGCACATGCACACACGTACACATGCGCACACACTTATTGTTCTCCCTCCCCCCCCCACACACAAACACACTGCAGCAGATAGACAACACACGAAATCGGCCACAACCCTTGAACGCAGGCACGAAACAAGATTTACCAGATTGAGAGAGCGTTATCTGCGGACCACGGAGGCGATTAACGGACAACACGCCATGCTGTGCCAGAGTCTTGTACACCTCACTGTCCTTATTGCGGCACTGCTCGCCAATGTAGCGTGCAAGCATGGCCGGCAGAATGGCAAGGAATCGTCCGGGAGCTGACCCACCCGTCATGGCGGCGGTGCTGGTGGTGCCGGTGCTGGTAATGGTTGCAGAGCTGGGCTGAGCACTGGCCTGAGGCCGCGGCAGCGTGCGAACGGACACGTTGCTTGCCTGCACGGCACAGAGCTGGGCCAGGCACTTGGCCAGGCTAGCGGACAGAGCCGCAGCGGCATCCTGGCTGAGTGCGTGCGTGTCGAGCCGAAGGGCCTCCTTGGCCTCTGCATGTCCATAGCATTGGGAGATACAAACAAACACGCACTCGGATCTATGTCACGCATCCTCACAACCCTATAAACGCCGTCTGAGATACAATACTACAGTAAAATCGGTGACTCACGACCACACC